TTTATATTCAAAATAGTGTGGTTTTAATGTGATATTCTTTGAATAAATTTTTAATTGGAAAGCTGCCCCCTTAAATAACAATAATATATTACTTTTAATGCCTAGATAAAATATAAAGGAACCTAAGTTCCCGAAAACTGCTGTAAAGTTCTTTTTTTAATTCAGTTGTAAAATAGAGCTATCTTAAAACGTTATTTTTTGGGAAGAAGAAAAGAAACTAATGTTGAAAAATTGAATGAAAAAAGGTGTTATGTATTAACAACAAAACTATTTCAATCTCGTTTTCGAAATTTTCCAATCATAAGAGAAAAGATCAAAAACAACCTAACTCTTCCTCTTGAAACCTGAGCGGCTCCGCGAAGTTTCTGGTTATACCAACATGGCCGCCGCTACTTGACAGTTACTTCACTCGCTCCAATAGGGAAGGGGAGGAATGCCCACTCCTTCTTATTTATAACTCCATGATCGCAACAAGGAATTTTGGCGCACCTGCTTGCAAGGGCATTGTGAAGGACAATTGTCGTTGAAGAATCAATTGTGTGGAACTGGTCATGAGTAGAAAAAAAAAAGCATAAAGACAAAATTGATAAACATTTAAAAGGGTAGTGAAAGCGACCTTGAATTACAAAAGAGTGAACTACTTAGAGAATAAAGAGGAGAGTTCAAAAATAGATATCAAGGCTTAAAAAAAAGAGCTGACGCAAATTAAAGAAACTGAGACAAATTAGATGGTTGAAGGTATGATTAAATGGAATTCACAAAACGTAAAATTAAAAAGGTTGAAGATAGTCATTGTGACATCACAAATTCACTAGGGAATCTGTAAAACCTATGAGTATATACTGAAGTGTTAACATATATAGGATAATAAATGTATCAAACAATCAAAACAAATACATATCAAATATTTATAAACATAATAAAGGAAACAATGTTTACTCGAAATAAATCTGTTAACTTATTATATTTTGAATTATGCACCAATGTGATTGAAGTGAGTCACCTTATTGATATGGTTAGAGCACTACAGCCAGATGTATATCCTATTTGATAAGAATATATCAAATTATGATCAGCGATATTTAGTTGGTATTTTGTACCGTATTAAATAAATGTCTTTACTCAAGCGAAGTTGGTTGAACAGCACTAAAAGGGTACAAATAGAATGTACCAATGTCTAATAATTTTTAGTTATAGGCTGATGGTAATAATAACAAAAAGTTTGTATTATAAACAAACTAGCAAATGGGTATGTCGATAGCAGAAGAGAAGATGTCAAAAAGAGCACTGACCCTGAAGATTTAGAACAAGAATATATTTGATATGTTGAAAACGGCAGAGATGTAGCCAGGTTTTTGATACAAAAATGATGAAGAAGAAGAACAGTCTTTTAATTAAAACAAAGGAGCTGACATGAATTAAATGCTTGCTTCAGGGTGTAACTAAATGGGGAAAAAATTTGTTGTAAATTCACAACTGTTTTACAAGACGTAATTTAAAAAGATTAAGGATTTAATAAATTTTCTGGGACAATATATATATATGCGTATGTATATATATATATATATATAATGGCATAGTGCATAGCGTTTTTAAAAAGTGCTTTAAGTATTTTCATTTTTTAAAAGCCCTTTAACTGTGCTTTTCAACGGGTGTTTTTAAAAAGTTTCCTTTTCCCTTTTTGAAAATGAGATTTTTTCTTCTTTACCATGTCTGTTTTCACCACGTATTATGCAAAAGCATGCTTTTCGCATTGCATATTGGCGTACTGTTGGTTTGTAGCATACAAAAGTGCCAATGATTATCTTGTTATCAATAATTTTACAGATACTTTTGAGTCCGTGTGTGCGTCTACTGAGCTGGTTTCGGTGAGATTATTGCACTTTCATGTTCTTCATTTTTCAAGATATTCTCAATTTCAGGCTTCACTTTCCACCCTCTAAGATCGAACCTAAAAATCTCTTGATCATTTTACAATGGCTAATGTAGTCAGGGTGTGTTGCATTTTTAAAAAGTGCTCAAAGGTGCTTATTTTTGATTTACGTTTTTTAAAAGCCCTTAAAGGTGCTTTTTTTATTCGCTGTTTGTAAAAAGTGCTTAATTTTCTATATTTTAAAAAGAGATTTTTTCTTTGCCTTATCGATTGTTGTTCAAAATTACAAAAAATGCATTATTTTCACAATTTTCTTTGCGATATTTACAGGGTGGCCACCCACCTGGAAAACCTGGAATTATAAGGGAATTTTTTTATACTGGAAAAACCCTGGAAATATCAGGGAAATTTAGATAAAAACCTGGAAAAATCAGGGAATTTTAAAGAAAAACTGGAAATTTTTTTCTTTGATAATTTTTTTAATTTTACTAATTTAAATTATTTGCTAATTTTCTTAATTTAAATTATTTCGTCCATTATCCCATTTTTTTTAAACGGCAAACAGTTGAAATATCATCAACTTTGCTTGCATCATGCTTGATACTTTGCTTGCATCAAAACTTGCTCCATTACAGTGTTAAGCTGGAAGGCCACATAAAATTCTCCCACTGTTGCTAAACGAATGTAGAAACCTTTGACCGCTATGGGACTGTGCAATTTAGATAAGATTCTGGTGGAGGTGGAAAAAGGGATTAGGATATTAGCTTCTGTTTTTAAATTCTGTCCTTGGGCTGAATCCATTTATGGCTCAAGTTTGTTCTGATGCTTTGGTGGTAATTTTTTTTTTCTATTTTGACAAAATGTTTTTATATTTTTAACTTCATAAAATTCTCCAAAAATTAGTTGGTTATAATTTAATAATAATAGATTTTGTATTGCACTCTTTTTCTGAAAGCTTTTCTACTCCCATTCAAAGAAATTCGTGAATTATTTTTTCTCAGCAAACCAACCAATCTCTCATTTTTTACAATCGCTAACAATGTTTGTCGACAAATCGTTACAATTGTTTCATTAATGCTAATTTTTTTCTATTTCATTTTAACCTTTTATAACATATTTTAATTAACGAAAAAAGATTTTTTAAAAATCAACTATATATTAATATTTAATTTTACTCCTTTGTTGGTCAATATATGATTTTTGATTCAAAATTTTGTACCAAAGCATTAAAAAATAAATAATAAATCTTGCCAAATTGTCAAAATAATTTTTTTTTTCAAGATGATATGAAAAAAAAAAGATAAAAAAATAACATTTTGAATAAAGTATTTTATAATATAGACACTTTTCTTGTGCACATCCTACACTTTATACGAAAAAAGAAATAAAAACCTGGAAATTTTAAGATTTTTATCTGGAAAAATCAGGGAAATTTGAAATCTGATTTGAGTGGCCACCCTGATTTATCAGAAACTAGTTACATCATCATGATTATGTCAAGTTTTTGAAAATGTTATTGAATTTCATTGATTTTATGTTTATAAATAAAGTACACTTTAAACCATAAAAAAAATCATTTTTATTACTGCACAGATCCTAATGATTTTTTTTTTTTGGAAGGTGATTAAAAATATTTTTTGAATGCTTAAAAGGTGCTTATTTTTTTATTGAAAAACTGACTACGCACCCTAGTTGTCTAGAAAAGAGTTCTTTGTCAGAGACTAGTTATTTTATTGTGATCATCTAAACTGTTTTAAAATTATTTTGCATTTTGTTAATGTATATAGTGCTTAAAAATATTTTTTGAGTACTTTAAAGGTGTTTATTTTTTGTTGAAAGATTTGGCTATACACCATGTAAGAGCTTTGATTGTTTTGTATAACAATATTGTGAATAAACTAAAAATAATGTGAATATTAATAGTTTGATAAAGAATTTATATTTTAAATAAGGGCTTCCCTTTACTAAATTCTTTATTTTGTTTATAAATTCTTTGTTTTGTTTACCGATGTACAATGTATGAATACTATAAAATTAATGTAAATGCTACGCATCCTGAATGGTTATTTTGTGACAAATAATCCAGTTTTATTTCACTTGACAAAAATTGCCCTTTACAGTAAATGCACCCCCTTTTTTTAAAAGAAATGTGAACACCGAGAAACATCCGTATATTGATTACTATAAAAAATATTTTGCAGAATGATATTAGTGCTTAATGAGGCTTATTACAAAAAGTCATGCATGTAATTTTCTAAAATTATGACCCACACACACCTTTAAATTTATTATACTCATCATGAATAACTTACAGTAGCAAATGGTTAAGTATCTATTAAAGCTTTTTTAATGTTAAGTATATTATTTTTAATATCTAAACTCATTAGTTTTTTTTTTTAAGCAGGATGCATAGAGTTTTTAAGAAGTGCTTTAAGGTGCTTATTTTCGATTTTTAAAAGCCCTTTAAGGTGCTTTTTTCAATTGGTGTTTTTAAAAAATGCTTAATTTTCCCCCTTTCAAAATGAGATTTTTCTTTTACCATGTTGATTTTCGCTACGAATTATGCTAAAAGACACAGTTCACATTGTTCTATTCAACGTTTTCATAATTAATTCAACCAGAATCTAGCGTATGAAAACTCCATTCATTTTACATGATTTAAAATTTCATGATTTTTAACAATTGTCAAAAACAATGCCAAAAGTTTTTTTTTTGTTTGACATGACGATTAAAGCAAGATAAAACCGTCATTTGCCAAAAACTTTCCAACCCAGCCTAGTTATGTTATTTTTTTTAAAGTGTTTAAAAATATTTTTCGTGTGCTTAAAAGGTGCTTATTTTTTTTTTTTGAATAATTTGGCTGTGCGCCCTGTAAAAACAATGTTTTTTTCAAATCTGTTTTATGAAGTGTAGTTCTGATATACTTCAAATTTTAGTCGCAAAAATATTGATGCAATTATTTTCTTTCTTCAGAAAAGAAAGATAGAATTCCGAATCCATTTCCAAGGGAAGGTCCAACTGCTTTGTTCGGATCAGTGTTATAAGCAGTTCAAAGAAAATCAATCAGAGTCTAAAGCAGAGACAGTCGCCAAGCCAGCTGAACCTGTTCAAGACTCCTTTTGTCCTCAGTGTCAGAAGTTAATTTTTCCTAATCAAGGTTACTATCCTGTAGTTGGGGAAATCAAACCTCTTTGTTCCGAGGATTGTGTCAGGAAATATCAGGAGGTTAGTATTTGATTTGACTTTTTTCGTGTGTTATGTTGCGCTTCACTATAAGAATGCACTAAACATTGCATATATGTTTCTTTTCTTGGATTTTAAAATTGTTACGTAGAAATTTGTGCACTCTCTAAATCAATTTAAAAATACCAGAGATAGATGATTGTGCTCCGGAAAAAATCCGGATTTGCATATTTATTGCTAACTGCGATCCAGAAATATCCTGAAACCCAATGTCCAAAAGTTTCCAAGAAATCATCAATGACATTTATGTGTAAAAATTCTTGTATATTTTATTTAAAAATATTAGAACTAAAATTTATACTTGGCATCTCTTTCATTTGTAAATATTTTTTCTGGTAGAATAATAAATGTGATTAGAGACAAAAGTAAACATATAAATAATTATTCATTTAAATGATGTTGCATTTAGAATTTCATGTTTTGAAAATATCAATGATTTAAGTTTATAACAACATTAATTTTTTGAAATAAGTCATTAATGATTTTACTCAAGAAATTTTCATGATTTTTGAGCTGGGCTCACAATCACCCCTGTAGTTGTAAACTTCGCCGGAAGTGCGATAAGAAGAATAAGTAATCGGTGTTGGTGGAACTGAAAAATTGCTAACCGCTGATTAATTATCCTGTGGTTCAATTTCCATTAAATTCAACTTTAATTTGTTAAATTTTGTAACTCAAAGTTGTTAATTTCAAAAGTTATTAATTGATTAATTGGTGTATTTCTGTATAAAATGAACATGAAATTTTTATAAACATCTGTATATATGACAGATGTTTATAAAAATTTGCATAAAATGATCGTTACTACAATCACATTTAGAAAGATATTTATTTATGAGAGAATGCTTTTTCTTTTTTTTTTTTTTACTTCAACGACTTCTATCTAGTTTGCTTTTCAACTGAATCACTAGTTTAGAACTTTTTATTTCAACAATTTTGTGGGGAATGAGTAGTTATCGACTGCGTCGACCATCATCTATGAAAAGGTACCCCAACATAAAATTGAGTTGACATATCTTATATATACTAGTGAATTAGAATTATATTTTTGTAGTGGTAGAAATACTACAGTACTCACCCACCAGAATTATATCTGTGATAGAAATCGATGAACGGATACCACTAGTTGATTCATTACTGTTTTGTTTTGTTTTTTTCTGTGAGAAGCCGGGAGAGGTGTAATAAGATCACCTTACTGTTTGAGTGCTGATCGTGAGAGCTGTATTAAGTTCATGGTCGTGGTCGCTCTTGTGTTGCCTTTAACAGTTGGGTGTGACTGAATTAATGTAGGGGGAAGAAAGCCTGTCCTTCCATTAACATATTCTGGCTTTTGCCTAGAATGATTCTCTACGAGGAGAAGCATTCTAAAAGAAAGAATGGTGTGAACAAGGGGATACTGTAGCTCATGGAAGTGTTTATTTGGGAAGGAATATTTGAGGTAGAAGACCCACACTAACCTTCAAAATTCAGTTCTACTGATAATGCTTATAAGAATTAATGCTAAGAAAAGAAGTATCAGAAAAATTTTTTGAATCCATATTGAAAACTATTTCCTGAAATCTAGAAGAATAAAATACATTTTTATAATATTTCTGTAAATTTATAAAAAAGCATAACATGTTTTAAAATTCATGATTGTACTAAAAATTAGACAAATCTGTAAGAAACAGGATTTGGAAAATCCCAGAGGTTTTTCATCTAAAACCTGGGGTTAATTAAAGTTTTTTTTCCTGAGTACTAACTAAGAAAGTGTGATTTGCTTCTAACAAGAAAGTTAAATATTTGGTAACTATTTATAATTTGTTTTGTTGCAATGTAATTTTTTTTTTAAAGTTTTAGATTGTGAGGCTATTATTTTTATTTCTTAAGGATAAGCAGATAGTTACATAAAAATTTAAATCTACTCACCTAAATGTTAACCTAAACTAAGATTTTTATAATCTTTTTATTCAGCTAACATTGCAACTTAATATACTGTTTTTAATTTTTGTTCAATTTTTGGTTGCTTTAAAATTCATGTTTTTTCTCAGAATGTTTAGTAACATTATGTAAAGTTAATTCCTAATATCAGGTTTAGCTGAAAATAATTTTGTTAAAGTTCATCATAAAAGTAAATGTAACACTGGTCTAGTAGCGAAATATAAAAACCTGTAATAATTTTTTTAATGTTTTTGTCAAATTTCTTTATTTAATAATTTTTTTAATATACATGAAAAAATTGCAAATTTTAATTTCTGCATTTAATTTTATGAATCATCAATTTCAATGAAATCATTAAAAATTACAGATTAGTTTCATACGTTAATTTCTACAATCTGAATGACGTTAAATTTGAACATTCTAAAAATGTTTTTAAAAAGCTCTCCCTGGGTTTTCACAAATTGCCTGGTACTTCTTTGACCGGCCCTGTTAATTAATACAATTATATCAGTGCTTGCATTATAATAAAATTGTTTTTTTTATTATTTTTTTTAGAAAGGTAAATAAGGGACACTGTCACTGGTGGCATATATATATTCCATGATAAACAATCATATTATTTTTAAAGTTCTTAATTTTTCAAAAAGAAAATGTCCTTAAAAGTTTTTCTTTGTTAAAAAGAGTGGGAACCGTGATTACGTTTTGTTCCCTTCATTTTTCACACATTAGTGATTGAATTAGGAAAAATGTTCCACTTCAACTAAATTGTTTCGAACTACAGTAGAGAACCATTTATCCGGTATCCAAATAACCGGGAAATCAGAAAAAATTTAGCTCAGTTTTCCCGCCATTTTAAACTAGAATGATTATGAAAAAAAGAGGAAATTGGACTCATCCTTGAAGTTGAGTAAAGGAAAATGTGAGGAAGGGGAGAATTTTTTCCCTCTTTTACACAGAGAAACATCATTTCTTCTGTGACTTTAAAGATCGAGAGGAGGCAGGGAAGGGACAAATGTTTTATTTTCTCCTTTAGGCCGCCAATCAAACTCAAAGGAGTGGCATGATAATTTCGTTTTCTCTTTGATTTACGAGGGGGTGGGGAAGATGCATTGCATATGCATATCAGTGAACAGAAGATGAAAGAGAAAAATATATTTATCTATTTGACATCGATTAATAAAAATAAAATGTTTTTCTTTTGAATAAATTCTGATTCTTTGGAAGTGCTGTATCATTTGCAAGCTTTTCTTGATGTGGAATCACATCTGCTTTCTTTAAAAATTGTGTTTTTATAAAAAAAAATAAAAGGAGAATTGGTTATTAATTTAAACATATGATTATTTTATGGAGCATATTTTATGAGTTTTTCTGATTCCACTAGGTTTGATTTTTTTTTTCATGATGAATTTTGCACTTAATAAATAAATTCTTTTTATTCATAAATTTTATCATTAGGTTTTTTATTTTATTTATTCCGTTGATCTTATTGATCTTAATTATAATATGAATTGTATGTGGTATACTCGTATAAATTTTATATTTCTTAAATATATTACATTTATACCAACTCTTTTTCTTTCTTTTTTTTTATATTCTTCGTTTTAACCGAGTTTTTCAGTTATCCGAGTTAGTCGTGGTTCACATTAACTGCGATAATCGGGACTCTACTGTATGTCAATTGAAATTATTAAAAATGTAAGTGATTTTGTCTCTATTATTCGTCCGACATGAATATTCTGTGTTAAGCAGTACAGGCTAAATACCAAATTTTTGTATGTTGCATCTCTAATTTAGTAGCAGCAATTGTTGAGCAGAATCTTGTATCGATTTCGAATTTAAAAGCTTCTTGAAAAGGGTTTTAGCAATTTTTGCAACAACAGGACCCTATTTACACAAATTCACAAAGGCAGGACCCTGGTTGAAAGAATTTTGTATTCACAAATTATGAATAGTTTTTTCACTATTTTACAAAAACAGGACCTTTCACAAAATGTCAGGACAGACCCCTGGTTTATATCTAGATGAATTTTGTGTTCTTATATGATTTACTAAATATTCTGTTTTAAAGAGGGATTATCTAAAAGTTAAATAATATTATTTTAGATAAAATATATACTAGGTAAAAAAAAGTAATATATTAGATAAGTCAAAAATTAATACTTCATTAAAATTATTTCAATTGGTTAATTATTTATTGAGCCTAGTTGTTTACTTTTTCGGTAATTAATATCCAGTAATTAGCGAATAAAAATAAAATTTTCAGCTAAAAACTCTTTATTATATTTAACTTTTAATTTATGATTAGGTATGTAAAAATATTTGTATTAATAGTATTTATTGATAAATACCTTTGACATTAAATCAAGGATTGTTTTCTGTATTTTTACTTGACAGCATAAGGTTTTGAAAGTTAGTAAGCTGTATGTAATGAATGCAGCGTGTGATTTATATTACAATAGAATGAAGTCGTAAATTTTTTTCTAAAACATTTTTATGAAATAAAGTTGTCCTTTGCGTAAAAGATTGAATTTTAATTCCTTAAGAAATTTGTTTAATTTACTTTTCACTCTTGTAAAAATGATCAATCAAATAACCCCGGAATTACGTCGACATTCTCGCAGAACGGAAATATTGTGGTTTTCCTTCCTGCAGAATTTTTCAAAAAATGTTTTTTTCTTTTTCTGCAGAATTTATTTTTAAAGATGCACATCAGATAGGGAAAAAAATATTTGGGATTTAAGAAAAGTCCGTCCTTCAGCTAGAACTCAAATTTAATAACATAAAATGAGACATTCAGAAATCGTTTAAAAGATAGTTTCTTTTAAGAACACCCTGTTTTACGCACACTTATTTGAGTGTCTCTTTTTTTTAAAGAGTCCCATTCACTTGATTTTGTCTATTTTGGAAGGCATTTTGCGGTTTTTAATTTATATACAAATTTCAATTTTTTATGAATTTTAATGATTTACAAGATTAGAAAGGGGAAATAATGAGTGCATTTTTCCACCTACAAAGTGTGAGATAATATTACATTTAAAAAAAATATCAAGTTTTTATTCTATACTTTCTTCTGTCGTTTCTGTAACTTTAAATTAGTAATTGTTATAAGTATCTTAAAGATAAATATCAATGTTAGGGAAGTTTGTCCCAGAAAGCCTGAAAAAATTCTGTCTCGGGGGCAATTAACTATTATTTAGACTAGTTTGCAATTATAAACTGTTAATTTAATGCATGGTATTAATAAGAATTCCTTTCACTTTGTCTGCCTATTTCTTTCTTTCTTCCATCTATCGACCTAAGTTGTGTTGTTTATTTTAGAATAATGGCCCACCTAGAAAATGCTCTCAATGTGAAAATAAGGTAGAAGACAAAAATGTTCACCTGACTTGGGAAACCATGATATTTTGTGGAGAGGATTGCCTCGGAAAATACCAGTCATTTCTTGGCAGTCACTGCACCTGCTGTCAGGCACCTGTACAGCAAGCATCACTGGGAAAATACTGTGTCTGTTTCGGATCGGATATTCGACAATTCTGCTCCGGCAGTTGCCTCGACGATTTCAAGAAAGGCCTTAAAGTAAGTGAAATCAATATTTATCAGGGATGAAAGAAAGAAATCCGCAAAAAAGCGGAAATCCGCTTTTTTTCTCCCAATTGTTAAAATTTCCGAAAATATTCCAAGAACTTACATTTTTGGGGATTTAATTGGAGAAACCCAAGCCACCCAAACGATAGTCAGCCTTTGAACGAACTTTTTCCCCTTTGCAGTAGCCTCCTGATGAAATTATTTTCAGAAGTGAATGAGTAGAGCTTCGGCAGCTGCCTAGATAACCATGACTTACTCTATAGAGCGGAAAGAAGTTCTAAGCAGTTTCGTTTCGACCGCCGATATTTGATTTCGTCTGTTTAACTAATTTTCAGAATTTCAAATGTTAAGAGCTGAGACGGAATCTGCTAAAATCGTGATTCTTATTCAGACGACTTTAATATCAATAATCTATTTTCGCATTTAACTGATTTAAAAGTTATATGTTGCGATTTGTTTTTACGCGATTTAAAAATCGTACTCACAATTCCCATTCACAGGGTTGCCATAGACTACTAAAATCAGGGTGGCCACCCACCTAGAATTATCAGGAAATTTTTTTTTATACTGGAAAAAACCTAGAAATATCAGGGAAATTTGGATAAAAACCTGGAAAAATCAGGGAATTTTAAATTTCCAGCTTTTCTTTGATCATTTTTTTAATTTCACCAATTTAAATTATTTACTAATTTTCTTAATTTAAATTATTTCATCCAATATACCCACTTTTTTTAAACGGAAATGTATCGCCAAACAGTTGAAATATCATCAACTCAGCGATACTTTGCTTGCATCAAAATTTGCTCCATTACAGCTCTGTTAAACTAGAATGCCACATAAAATTCTCCCATGGTTGCTAAATGAATGTAGAAACCTTTGACCGCTGTGGGACTGTGCAATTTAGGAAAGATTTTGGTGGAGGTGGAAAAAGGGATTAGGATATTAGCTTCTGTTTTTAAATTCTGTCCTTGGGCTGAATCCATTTATGGCTCAAGTTTGTTCCGATGCTTTGGTGGTAATTTTTTTTTCTATTTTGACAAAATGTTTTTGTATTTTTAACTTTATAAAATTCTCCAAAAATTAGTTGGTTATAATTTTATGATAATAGATTTTATATCGCACTCTTTTTCTGAAAGCTTTTCTACTCCTATTCAAAGAAATCTGTGAATTATTTTTTCTGAGCAAACCAACCAATCACACATTTTTTTACAATCACTAACAGCAATGTTTATCGACAAATTGTTACAATTGTTGCATTAATACTAATTTTTTCTATTTCATTTTAACCTTTTATAACATATTTTAATTTTAAAAAAAGGTTTTTTTTAAGAACTAACTATATACTAATATTTAATTTTACTCTTTTGTTGGTCAATATATAATTTTTGATTCAAAATTTTGTACCAAAACATTAGAAAATATATAAAAAATCTTGCAAAATTGTCAAAAAAAATTATTTTTTTCAAGATGATTCATTAAAAAAATAACATTTTGAATAAAATATTTTATAATATAGACACTTTTCATGTACACATCCTACACTTTATAAGAAAAAAGAAACAAAAACCTGGAAATTTTAAGGTTTTTATGTGGAAAACCTGGAAAAATCAGGGAAATTTGAAATCTGATTTGAGTGGCCACCCTGAAAATGCAACTATTTGCTACTATTTTTGGCTTTAGGCGACTATGGCGACCTTTTTTTTTTGCATGAAAAGGCTAAAAAAGCAACTATTTCCAGGAATAGGAGACTTTTTTACTCTTAGCGAAGCTCTTTCACAAAAATGAACGCTACTTTTCAGAACGTTAATAAAAGAAAGCAAACTTTTATACCTGTGATTCTCAACCACTGTGTGTGCCGCCAAATTCTTAAAATGTGCCGCCAAATATTGGAAATGATGCAATAAAAATTATAATGCTTTTTTTATTATGAGTAAAGTTTAAATTAGAAAAAAGTGTATATATATATATATATACATACTTTTTATAATTTTTCCACGCTTTAACCGTGTGAACGTCTTTGTCGGTGATCGTCTTGTCTCAGACAATCTTAAAATAAGTTAGAATAAGAAGAAAGTGTTTAAATTGTCTATGACAATTTTAAAAAATGTTGAAATTATAGGTAGGAAATTTAATGACTATTAAAATTATTAATTAACAAAGGAAAGCAAGCTAAATATTAACTTTCAAACGGAAATAAAAACTGGTCATTAAAGTAAGCTATGCAATAAATAGTTATAAAAACAAATTAACAAAGGATAACTACCAAAAAATAAGCGAACAATTAATAATTATCAAAAATACTAGTTTACAGGAAATCACAAAAAAATAAGAATTATTGTAAAAAAGCGAACAAATAATAACTATAGAAAACAAGCTAACAATTAATAACTAGCAAAATAATAAATAACTGTTACTAACTAACAAAAAATTAGTCGGAAGAAATAATTAATTCCTTAATAAACATGCTTTTGTAGTACATATTATTTTATTTCACATTCAAAATTATTATCACAAACTATTTAACACAGTGTTATAGGTAAATAAAAAACTTTTAAACAAATTTATTTCATTTTGTGCTGTCAATTTTGAAATCGTTAAAAGTTTGCCGCCACGTAAAAAAGGTTGAGAATCACTGTTTTATACAATCATTTATGTCCAAAAAGCCAAAACTTTCGATTTCCATTAGATTTAATAAAGTACTTGTTATATTTTCTCTCTGAGGGGCAGTTTTGTTATTTTAAATTGTTTTTTACTTCTATTAACATTCATTTTTTATTGTAATTCAACTTTTATTTAGGTACCTATTTTCTAATATGTATACCATTTCTATTTGTACGAAACGTTTCTTTAATTGGAGCATAGCTAGGACTGGGCAATAAATAGATGTAATTGCGAAATATCGATTTAATACATATATCGGTAGGCCGATGTAGTGACTTTCGTTTTAGGCGATGCATCAGAAATCTGATTTATGCCGCCGGAATAAGACTACAATCGCGGTTTAACGATTTAATATGCAAGGAGCCTTGGCTAAGCTAACGCTGTTACCGCACTGACGAAGACGATTTGATTTTGTCTAGCTGCAGGGAAGTAGATAGTGTTCTTCTAAAAACGATTATGTTAGTTTCGTGATGTTGAATGACGTAAAGCAAATTGAATCAGAACTCCCGGTTTCGAGCGAGGATCAGCGTTGTAATATAGAACGCAATGCATAGCTTCTTTATGTCCATTTTTGTCTTCGCAATTTTGAGTTTTTTGAAGATTATTTTAATGGGACTTAAGTCATTTCGCGATTGTTGTGCATTTTATTTCATTGGAAATAATTGTCGGATTTCTTGAAAATTATTTTCAGTGAGACTCTTGCTACTTAGCGATCGTTTCATTCTGCATTATTTTATACCATTTTATTTTTTGTTTGGGTTTAACGATTCTTGTCATTTATTTTTAGTAGATCTACTGTTACTTTGCGATTGCTGTACAATCGCTGTTATCTTAAATTTTCGTTCTGAACTCAATAGATCAATAACAAGAAAATATAAATAAAAAAGAAGATACTTCATTGATTTTTTTCAATTATTGTTTTTCATTTTAAGCTACAATTTAATAGGGGTATTTTGTATTTAACTTTGTTATAAAAAGTTAGTTTTTTTTTAAATTTATTAAATGTAGGTAAGTATAATAATTTAATTATTTTTAAACCAATAAATGTTCAGTCGTTTTTAATTATAAAAAAATTAAAGCAAAGCTTACCTTTATTGAATTTGCTTTTATTTTTGAGAAATGAAGACAAAGTTTTAAAAAAATTTGCCTATTAGTTAAAAAACAAATAAATTCTTTTAAAATTAAATAAGGAGTTGAGTAATGTTTTGACGCTTTTTAATAATTTAACATTAGTACTTAAAGTTTGTTGTTTTTTTTTTTTTAATTTTTATTAAAATTCTTTCAATACTTGTTTGTTATATAATTTGATAGATAATCAGTATCATTTTTAAACAAATAAATCTTTAGTCGATTTTATTTTCAAGGAAGAAAATAATAATAAATAAGTAAAAATATTTTTGCATTTATTCTGTACATAATTTGACCATTAGTTAAAACTACTTTTTACTATTTTAAATAATAAAATAAAGGGTCTAATGAGGTTTCAAAAGCATGTTTTTTTTTAAACAAATAATTTAAAATAATGTTTCTTTTTTCTGAAGGGAACATTTCTTTGGTTTGTTTTCCACTTTCGTTTTTTTTCTTTTAATTTTTAATGCATGTGCGTAAAATAATTTGTTACCGTATTATTATTTTTAAACCAATAAATCTTAAATCATTTTTAATTTAAGAAAAATGAAATAAAGCTTGGGTTTGCTTTTACTTTGACTTCTTTATTAATTTAATTGAAAAAATTAAGCAATGATATTGATGTCATAGTAGAATATGTTTAGAATTAATATTTTCTTTTGTAATAGATTTATTCATTTTTATTTATTTTTGATTGATTTATAGATTTCCCATAGGTAATTTTTGAACATATGCTAAATCGCGATACATCGCTATCTTGCAATCTCTAACTGACGATGTATCACGATTTAAAATTTCTGACATCACCCAGTCCTAATCATAGTATTTGACAATTAAGCTGTAATTTTATTTATTCGGCTACTATTTTTGACAAATTTTTGTTCCAGTTCAGGCAACTATTTTCATTGTTTTGGGCAACTATTTTCATGCTTGAGGCTACTAAAGGCAACTATTTTTGTTCATTTTTTACTGTGGCAACCCTGCATTCACTCAATTTAAAAATCGAATATCGCAATTTGCATTTAAAAGTTTTTAGAACCCAATATCGCAATTCATATTCCCACTAGTCCAATGTTGCCATTTGTGTTCACTCATTTTTAAAATCCAATATTGTGATTCGTTATGCAGTTGTAATATCAAACATCGTTTTTCGTATTTATTCCAGAGATGATTGTGCTCCGGAAAAAATCCGGATTTCCGGATCTTTCGCAAACAGTGTTACGGAAATCCAAGATCCAGAAATTTCAAGAAATCATCGTCACATTTATGTATAAAAATTCTTGTATATTTTTTCTGGTAGAATAATAAAAGTGATTAGAGATAAAAGTAAGCATATAAATAATTCATTTAAATTATGTTGCATATAATTCATTTAGAATTTCATGTATTGATAATATCAATGATTTAAATTTATAACGATATTAATTTTTTGAAATGCGTCATTAATGATTTTACTCACGAAATTTTCAGGATTTTTGAGTTGGACTCACAATCGCCCCTATTATACGCTATTTGAAAACTACTCATTGCGATTCATATTCACGTGATCTAAAAATTATGCATCTTGATTCTTATTTAAGTGATTTAAAAATCCAGTATTGCAATTTGTTATTTTGTGTTTTTAAAATCCATTATCCCTATTCATATTCACGTGATTCAGGCATGAAAGTTTTCAGCTTCTACTCTGAATTCAGCTTTTTTCAAAGCTTTTTAAACTCCATATATTTATTAATTTCATAATGTTTGATTGCGTTTATGTAGAATTCAGCTTTTTTTGCTAACTGGTACTTTCATCCCTGGTGATTTGAATAGCGATCTTTTAATTTTTGTTTTCTGTCCTTAATATTATGTTTACTAACTGATGCATTAATTTTTAGAATTATTCCTTTAAATAATCAGATAACTCAGAATTTTTTTTTTTTTGTGTCATAATTTAAGTGGGAATCCATCAAAAATGTGTTGTTTGACAATGTAGTTACTGTCCTGTGCGAAGTAATCTATGGTCTATGTTGAAATGAACTTGTTCATGTGTTTTTTTAAAATTTTTTTTTAATAGGCTTATTTAATTTTTTCGAGTAATATATTGTTTGAAAAAAAAAAGAATAAATAAAAGCTCTTATATCCACCTTTTGTAGGTATGTACATTTTGTCAAACAGATTTATCTGCTGGAACTGAAGGATTTCTTGCTCCAGTTGGTGATAAGGGGCAGTTTAAAGACTTCTGCTCACAATCTTGTATGGAGCGTTATGAAACAATGAACAACCTATCCAAAACAGCTCCAGAGACTCAGGAATGTGCTCACTGTAAAAAACAAGGCACATTTAAAATCCAGGTACTTCTCTTTAAATGCTTTCTTTTTTAAAGCACTTATTACATAATTATTATGCAGGGGTGATTGTAATCCTGGGGTATCCCGGAATTTTGGGTTTTTCATATTATCCTTCCGGGTCCAAAAATTAAGAGCGCAGGGCATATAATCTTTCTGGGAAAATCATGGAATTCCGCGATTCTCAAGACCATCGGCTCTTGAACTTTCGCTAATCAAAAACTTATGATCCTACAAAATTTTCACGGAATTCCTCAGTCTAAAGTTCAAATTTTGAAAGTTTTGCTAATTCTTGCTAACAAGATGCTTTCATGCATGTCATTCTTCTGTCAATGGGTATAAATCCACAGATTGATTCTTTCTGTGGATTTTCTCCATTTTGTACATTTGAAACTGTGTCGCAATCAGCTAAAATAGCTTTTAATTAATTAGTTAATAATATAGCTTTTAATTAATTTTAATTAAATTAGTTACTATAAAAATGTGATATTCATCATAGGTAGAAAATTTAATTATAGATTTTATTTAGAAATAATTATGTTAAATACAAAGCATACCTGGTATATAAATTAATATCTCAATCTTGATTTTTTGCACATAAAATTTTCAGGGTTTTTAATTTTGTGTTACAATCACCCCTGGTTATAAAACTTTTCTTGGAAAACAATAAACTGGAACAGCAATCCCTCGTCTTTTATTTTCCTGATCTGTTTTTCCCCTCTTTCATTCTCATGTTTTTTTTTTTCTTTTTTGTGTATATTTTTGGTATATGTCATGAAGCAGGGAAGGCAAGTTTCTTCCTCAGAGGCGAAAACCGTCTTGGAAAAAATAGGTTTTTTCTAAACCAACCAAAACTATTTGTAGTGTGTCTACCATTGCAAAAATATAATTCCAATTCACTAGTATGTAAGACACGTTGACTCGATTCTATGACGGGGTGCCTTTTCGTAGATGACGGTCGACGTGGTCGATTGCTACTCACTCCCCACTTGGGTGACCTGGACGGTATGCAAACATGCCTTCTTTGACAGAAACTCCCACTTCAATGTGAAAATGCCTATAGTGACAGTAACGCCCACTGCGATTTGAACAGGCTCACTTCGTAGGATGGTCCACTTTGAACAGTTGACTTGCTACTTGTGAATGATCCTCCTCACGCTGTTGCTTCTCAGTCTCGATTACACACATATATACACTCGACTTATAACGGCAGCACTGTAGCGACTGTGAACTTAATACAGCTCTCACATTCAACACTAAATAATTTGGTAATCTTAATACAGCTCTCCCGGCTTTTCACGGAACAGCAATGAATCAACTAGTGGTATCCGTTCATCGAATTCTATCACACATATAATTCTGATGGGGGAGTACTGTAATGTATCTACCACTGCAAATATATAATTCCAATTCACTAGTATATGATAAATGTTAACTCGATTCTATGGTGGGGTACCTTTTCACAAATGAAGGTTGATATTGTCGAAAACAATAAATATCAAACGTTGAAACATTTTTTTTAACGTTTTATAATTGCAATTTAGTTTACATAATATTAATTTAATAGCTATTTAATATATTATTTCTAATTAAATGAAGACTGAAAAGCAACAATTGAAAAAAAAATGAATTTATGAAATAAAAATAACTAGTTTTTCAATTTTTACATGAATGAGTCTAATAAAACCTTCTTTTATAAAAGGGGTGTGACATATACACAGATCATCCTTTTATTACAGTAAGATGACATACTACACAATAAAATTTTACAATTGTTAGATCTTGATATGAATTTCAATGTGTAACTTAAAAACAGAGTCACTGAATTCTAGTTGAAATTTATCATTCAAAAATACTTACCAAGGAAATGATAAAAATTTATTAATAATCAACATAAATGATATTATTTCAAGTAATTCAGATAATTCTTTATTGTTGTTGAAATATATACTATTCTATAAAGAAGAATATTTTATAACTATTACGGTTCTGAAATCGCATTTATTTATTGGAATGAAATAAACAATGTAGACTTAAATAACTTCACTTTAATTTATAAAAATTGAAGACAAAAAAATATATATTTTACCATAATACACACATCTGTAACAGTATGAGATCACAAAATCGGAAGTTATTGGTTGCAAGTTTGTTTAGAATAGAAAGGAAAAATATTTTCTTCAAATGTTGGGCCCGTTCTGTTTCAGAAGGAATTACCAATGTTCTGAGTGGTTTTTTTCAAGCTCCTTTCCTTAGGGAAATTTTCCTTGTTATTTTCTGCTAACAAAAGTGTCCTTCTCTACCTATAATTCTGATAGAACTAAATATAAAAATATTTACCCTGCTAAAGGGCAAGCGTTGTGATCACGGATTAAAAATAATAAAGCACATTATGTAAGAGTTTTTTAAATGAGTTATTTTGCTTGTTGATTTATTGAAATGAATTTTTTTAGATGAAATTCCATTATTTACTTTCAATTTTCTTCAAAAAATTACAGAAATAAAAAAGATAAACATTTAAAAACTTCCTAAAAATCAGCAGAAATTAAAAGATATACATGTCTGAATGTTATAGGGGTACAGCTACTTCATTGTATGGAGAATATTTTTAATGTTTTTTCGACATTCTGATTAAGGAAGCTGTAAGGAACTCTAATTATAGAGAATTTTTGTATATTTATATATTTAACAATTTATAAAGCAAATGATATTCTATTTCTACTATTTCAACAATAATAGTGCAACATGCTGAAAAATAGTCTTTTCAAAGAATTTGGATGCAGTGAAGCATCATTAGAGTCCATTGATAATTCATTATAGTGAAATACAAAACCAGTTTTTAATTAGTATGGTATAGTTGGTTAAATTTTTTAACAAAGTACAGTTATATGGGTGGTTGACCGTGTAAAAGCACAGATGGTGGTTAAAAGACTTCCGGGTTGCTACTTCAGATTGATTTTCACCCCGGTGCGTAGCGTTTTTAAAAAATGCTTATTTTCGTTTTATAAAAGCCCTGAAAGATGCTTTTTTTATTGGATGTTTTTAAAATTTCGAAAAGGGAATGTCGATTTTTGCAATGTATTATGCAAAAGCGTGCTTTTCACATTTTTCTATTCCGACATTTTCACAATTCTTTCAGCCCCAATCTAATTCGGTTTGCCGTCGGTCCATAGCGCATGAAATCACCATTCATTTTACATCTTTGTTTAAATATTTGAGAGTTCGCCTGTACGTCTACTTAGCTGGGTTGGTTGAGCTTATTGCACTCTTATGTGCCACTCAACTGCGTTTTGCAAGATATTTTCAATTTTTAGGCTTCATTTTTCACCCTCTGATATTGAATCAAAATATCTCTTGATCATTTTATAATGGCTAATATAATCAAGAAAAGAGTCTAGGAACTAGTCGGAAACTGGTTATTTTATCATGATCATTCATTAAATCTTTCATGATAATTTTCAAAGATTCTTTGAAAATTATTTTGCATCTTGTTAATGTATATAATTCTTAAAAATATTTTTTGAGTGCTAAAAAAATACTTAAAAGTTACTTATTTTTTGTTGAAAAATCTGGCTACGCACCCTGTTGTAGCATTTACAATATAGCACATTCTTTCGATTTAAGTTTCAATGACGCAAACAACATATGAATTTGTGACTCTGCAAGCATGCTATGCCCTGTAGGATACAACCCAAAGAATAACTAACATTGATATTTTACACAAATATAGCCAAATGAGAGATAACACTCAAAACATTAATTTTCTTCAATTGGTTTTAGGCTCACAAGAAAAATTTATAAATTTCAGGAAACTGTTATGAAAGGTAAAGTTACACGTAAATCACAACTTCAAATATTTAACAATACGTCCAAGAATATCAAGCCATTCACACATCATCTCGTAACATAAACGGAGGCCGAAAGTTTTCAATAACAAGCTTCATAAAACCAGATTATCTTCTGGTTTTAGAAAGCTTGTTATTGTTTACATTCAGTCAACCATCCATAAATGCTAAGAATCTTTAGCGCTTGTTGGTTGGATATTTTTTAATATGTTTAGTTTTTCTGTGTAAATTTTGAATTAGTATTTAATAGCTTCTTTTTACAGGTCCCGTACAATGAAAAAAAATATTTCTTGTGTTGTGACAGCTGCGTTGCTGGATTGCGCTGCACCCTGAAGAAATCTGAGAATGTTTGTGCGTCATGTCACCGCTTCTTTGAGTGTAGAAATGATCTCAATAGCAATAAAGAGAATGACTTCAAGTTCAAAATGGATGGATTATATAAATTCTTTTGCTCCAAAACTTGCATGACTACATATGTTTTATCTCACCGTAGAATCACTCAATGTCTTTTCTGTAAGGTATTTAATCAAAGTCTTGTTTGATTTCATCAAATAAGTATAGTATTTATAAAGTAAATTTAATAATTTAAAAACAACCTATACATATCAGTATAATTCCTTGTATTCATCAGGCACGTAAGTGTTTTTTGTCTCCTGAGACAGATTCATTTTTTTGTGCCTCCTTCCCCCCTATATAACTCATATAAATTAGAAACATTCAGCCCATTTTGAATCGCATTGCAAAATGCATATTCAAAAGGCTTCTGCAAACATAAAATGATTCAAAAACTATTTTTTTAAAATTGAATATGTAATATTTTTTTATTCTATATGGCTGAAATTCTCGCATTTTGTTTGGGGGGACGCACAAATAATTTCTTTCTTCCCATTTTGTGAATAATCATCACAGTAAAAAACATAATTTATCCGTAGTTGTAATTGACGACGAGAGCAAATGCATTTTCCGTTTCGAGAATGAGTTGTTGTAATAAGTAATAGATATTAGTATAAAAATTATGGAAAATTCAACAGCAATAACTGCCAAATATGCTTGAAAAGTAAATACTCAAATGCCTATTTTCCATTTAGTTTGAAATATATCTAGATATATTTAAAAACCATGTGAAAATCAATATCAAAAACTGAATTCTATTTCCAGGTGAAAAAATATAATTTTGACATGATAGAAAAAGTGGATCGGAGTGATGGACAGAAAATCTATTGCTCCTTGAACTGTCTCTCTTTACATCGAGTCAATGCTAATGCAGCCTCTTCAAAAAGCATTCGATGTGATAACTGTTCAAAGACTCAACCTGCTCAGTATCACCTCACCATGAGTGATGGCTCCATTCGCAATTTCTGCGCATACAACTGTGTCTTGGCTTTTCAGAATCAATTCACCAGCGTTCCAGCTCTGACCACAACATCTATGACTCGACAGTTGACTACACCCGTTCAAAGTAATTTAGTTTTTATGCAATATAATTTATGAATTTACAGTCATTTAACGAAGTCGCTCGATGATCAGTTGGTTATATGGAATTAAATAGAAGATCCCCTTTTGAAATACGACACAAATCAGGTCATAAACAGTAGACATAATTAAACTAGCAATATCTTGTAAAGTAGTATCTACTATTTATTGTATAAACTATTAAAAAAAATATCCCTGGAAGGAAAGAATAGAGCAAAACATTATCCAGTACATAAATTTTCATCTGAAAAAAGCTAAATTTATGTACAAAATTATATCTGCATTTAGTATAAAAGTAATTTTAAACATACATTACCTCATGCGTTCTTAAGTTTAATGGCTACTCATAAAATCTGTTCATTTTGTCTGAGTTTTTCGTCGAAATGCAAACAGAAATAAAGGGACTTGTTTCTCTAAACGTTAAGTGGGTACAAAAACAATTCAAGGTCATTTCCGACATAAAATGCATTAACAAGTTTAAAGTATTTTAGGAAATAGGGAAAGTGCATCTCAAAGAAAAGTTCATAATTGCAATTTGGAAGTTATTTTACGAAGAAATTTCCAGAAAGTTTTTAGTTTTAGGAATTAAATAATAATTTTTACCATTTTAGTTGGAAGCATTAAATATTTTCAGTGTATTAAAATCATTGATGCATTTTATGTGAGCTTTGGCTTAAAATTTTAAAAATACACTTATATATAAATCTGATTTGAGTAAAAAAAATAATAATCTTACCTTTCTTGATTTTCTTAAAAAATCATGATTTTTGCCAGCACTGCTCAATAATGCAATATAAGAATTGAAGAACAATTTAAAAGATCTATAAAAAGTCATTTATCATTGTTCATGATCATAATTATAGTTTGTATAATAGAATTTGTTTATTTAGTATAGCCTCTTGTTTTTATTTTTTTTTCTTTTATAATCGCATTTAAATCTAATCACATCTGAATGATATTTTTAGAAGTTAACTGCTTTAAACACTATAATTTTTTTAAAATTTGTATCTATCATGACTTTTCTGTTATTTATGATTTTTTTTTATTTATTTATGAATTTATCATTCTCTCTTCAGCTTTGAAAACCACATCAGCTCTAAATTCACCAGTTATTGCCAATGTTGTGTCGTTGGCACAACCTCGTACCAGCACACCTGTTGCTAATAAACCTTTGGTACCACAAACTCTCGTCAGTGTTCGTCCTACTCGCCAACCTGTTGCTGTTTTTACGACAAAGGTTTGTATAGGACTTATATTTTGTTCCAATATTATTGCAATAACTTTCAGAATAATTCATACTAAATTTTTTTTGGTGTTATGCTTATTTTTTAAAAAAACAAACAAATATGTACATATTATCTAGAGCAGCATTCCCGCAAAGTGCTCAGTGGAACCCTAGAGTTATGTGGAAGGATTACTGTGATTCGTTCTAAGGGTTAAAATATTATTATTTATTTTTTACCAAAAATAATTTTTGAAATTTGTAATTATCTTTATCAGGTTTCCCATGGTACTTGAAAAACCTTGAATTTGGTTGAAAAAAATTAGGGCCCCTGAAAGTCTGTGAATTCTGCCATAGGGTACTTGAAAAGTACTTGATTTTCTAGGAATTAAAATACTACGAATTCTTTTCACTAAGAAGTAGTAAAAAAATAATAAATAAGTTCAATGGAAATTTATAGAAATTTTAATTGATGGAATTTTTTATGCTTGAAGTGAAAAGTGGTTAAGAAAGATGCAAAACTTTTCTCTTCTAGATTTTTCAGACCAGATTATTGTTCATATCTCTGATGTCTTGAAAGCTAAAATTTCTAGCAAATTTTAGGTTTTTTAGTCATAGTTTTCAAATGATGTATAGTGTTTAATTGATTTAGAAATATGTTCAATGTGTTAACTTCATTATTACAACAGGTTAATATTGTTTTCCTATTTGTTCTTTTAATTTATGTACAAAGGATAAGTAATTTTTTAACATTTACAATCAAATTTTTGCATTTAGTTTTTACTGCTAATATTAAAATTTAGTCCTACAGGTTTCACTGATATTGAATAAACATCGTGATTCACATTAAACTGATTCTTGATTTACGGATCAGAATTCATATAAAATGTTCTACGAATTGCGGTTTAACTGAAAATGATTAATGAATCTCATATCGAATATCACTTTAAAGTGATTTGCAAATTACTCATCAGAATTCATATTAAGGTATTTTATGAATCACGTGTCATGATTTCAATTAAAGTTATTTCTGAATCATATATCGTGATACGTATTTAAGTAATTTCAGAATCATGCCTCACAGTTTTCATTCTAGTAGTTTACAAATCACACATTGCGATTCACAAAAGAGAGATTTAAGAATTACCACCCACAATTCTCATCAAACTGATTTTTGAATCACACATATCTGTTCTATATTAAGCACCTTTCGAATTGCAATTTGCATCATAATGATCACTATTCACATGAAAACTACTAGCTAATCACGGAACAGAATTCCCATTAAAGGGATTTATGTATCTCACATTGTGATTTACGTCTTGTTAGTTCATGCGTTTTGTATAATTTGCTATTCATATTATTCCGATTTTAAGAAACATGCACTCAATTCAATTTAAATTTACAAATCACACATAGTGATGCGTGATTTACAAGATCGTGATCTTCAAGACTTACTTCACCTTTCTCATAATTTTGATTTACATATAGTATATCTAGATTTGTATAAATGTGATTTAAAAATTGCTCTTAGTGAAAATTAGGCATATTCTCAAAATTTACATTTTATGGGTATATTTTAAAGAAAATAAAGCTCGGTAAGTCTTAGTTATCTGTAAAATATTATTCTACAATAGATTTTATTATGTTAAAATACATTACTAATATTCTGAAGTAAGAAAATGGAAAATTTGATATTAAAATTGAAACAGATATGTTAAATGGATATATTTTGATAATTTATTTAATTATATACTTTTCCTGTAACCTAAAATTTGATCTAACATATTACAAAAAGTATTTATATTTTAAAAGCCGTGCAATTACACATAATTTATCAATTATTTACTATTCTTGTTTAATGTAATATGCATTATTCATTCATTCAGTTTCATTAATTCTAATTCACTTCATTAAATTTTTCATGAAAAGTTTCACTGATGCTAGTTTTAAATGTTGGGTAGTATCTTATGTCAATTGGGGGTTGTTGTTTTTTTTGGGGGGGGGGGAATTTTGGAATTTTTCAGAGTGATTTGAAACAGCAGTGTAACTATCAATCATTTGTATTATTAGCTGATAAATTTAATAATTTTTTGTTGTTGTCAAATAAGCATTATGATTTAAAAATATACAATTTCTGCTTCTACGTAATTGTAAAATCTGGTTGACATATACTTTAGAGTAGAACAATAATATCGAATAGGTCCTTAAAAAATTTGACTTTAGGTCCTTGAAAATCATTGAAAAGTCCTTGATTTTTTTTTTTTAATTGATTGGGAACCCTGTTTATTCTATTCAATCAATTATCCAATATTTATTTAATTTTATTGTTATTTTTGTGAAATAATTTTAGAATAGTTTGTCTAAAGTAAGAACTCTAGCAGAAGGGAAAGGTAATTTTATTACTGCAAAGAAGTTTTTGTTTTTCATTTGATTTCTTTTTTATTATTACTATTACTTAAAAGCAATGATTAGACTCCAATAATACACATTCTGATGATTTCAAAATTTTTTTAGAACTTATAGTAAAAAAAAATTATAAAGAAAATAGTGAATAATAAATTTATGAACAAAATAGTTTTTCATTATTATTCTAAATTTTCTATCTAATTTTTTGACTAAAAGATCAAAATTTAATATTTAATTTACTACTAGCTGCCTTCCTATTTAAGTGTGTTAAGTTTCAAATAATATAACATAGTGCGTAGTATTTTGAAAAAGTTCTTAAAGGTGCATATTTTTGTTTCTTGCAAAGATGCTTTTTTAATTGTGTGTTTTTAAATAGTGCTTATTTTCCTTTTCGAAAATGAGATTTTCTTTACCATGTCGATTTTTGCCACGTAAGCATGCAAAAGCGTGCTTTTCAAATTGTTCTATTCAAAATTTTCACCATTCATTCAACCACAGTCCATTTTGGCCATAGAGTTGAAATAGTAGGTAGAGGAACCAAGTTCGCTTTATTCCTTCCGAAAAGACACGCCACAGATAGCAAGCAGAGAGTTACAATCACGTGATGGAAAGAGTGCAATACTTGGCGCAGTATCACAAATGTTGGCGCACTAAGTTTCTAAACAGCTTTATTTCTATATTTCCGATGCGCAAATAATCGGAGCATATGAAAGAGAGAAAAAAAATATTTTCGTTAATCACATTTCTTTAATATTATTAAATGGGTTTTTAAAACATGAGGAGTTTTTTTTTCTTAACAAGTAATTTTTTATTAAAGTACTGCCTTTATTAAAAAAATTTCAGTAGTTCTCGTCTTTACCCTTAAAACTATTCCTTAAAATTTATTCATTATATAAAAATAAAAAACGATATTCTGCATCACTTATATTTATTACTATATTCAGAAGAAAAAAATTTTAAATGTTTTTATTGCAAAGACCTATTTTTAAAAAAAAATTAACAATATATATTGTAATAACTATTATTACATTTAACTATTGTTATTTTTTTTTAAAAAAGTAATAACTTCGATACAAAAATCAGGATTTTTTATAAATCTACCAGGGCTTAAAATGTGAATTTGAAAATGTTGCCTTTCTTTTTTAATGAAACATAAGTTTGTTTAAAAAATAAATTTAATCTTTACATTTTAAAAGTTTTATTACTGTTAGATAAAACAAACTGTAAAATCAAACAGATTGTCTGAAAAAAGTTTGATGCTTAGAAATAACGTTAATGTTGCAACACTTTTATCATTTTTATTTATGCTCACCAAGAGACTGCTCGAGAGGTAATATTAAATTTCGAGAAAAATAGCTTTGAGGAAAATAAAACCCGTTTTTAGTAGAATAGATTAGTTAGAAAACATTTTTGATTAAATTTAATTACGTTTAGAATTTTATTTATATATTGAATACATTAAATTATTTATACAATAAAGATTATTTACATTATTAATTTAGAATTTTGACTTCTTTTTTTCCTGTCACTTAAAATAGATATTTTCAAAAATAAACTGCTGTTGCATTTTAACTTAATACTCAACAATTTGTCTAAATATGAAATAAAATATTTATTCTAATATAAAAGTTTTCAGCTCCGAATAGAGAAAAATATAATATTAAAAGCATTAAACCAATTAAAAAAAATAATAAAAGAGTTTAATTAGAAATTTTACTTTGTATTTCATGTACAATCTAATTCCATAAATTACAAGGAAAATTGAATTGTACACACAAAGTGACTAGTAGAAAAGCTTTCGAAATTTAAACAAAAATACTTAACTAAAAGAGAAAGCAATTAGAATTTTTACTTTGTACTAAATGTAGATTGAAACTAATAACGGACTTATAATTAAAATATCTTACTTTTATTTGTGATAGAAATTGCAATTTATGCAACTTTTTATGTGGTAAATTTATGCAACTATTATAGGTCAATGTATATTTAATAATTTTTATACAGAAAACCAGTATCTTAAAAAGTAGCAGTTAAAAATATTTTACTTTACAAATAAAAGAACCATAATCATTTTATGGACATTAAGAAAATTACAATGCCCATCCATAAAAAATGTAATTTTCTTAAAAATAGTAAGTGCATTTAAAACTATATCTTTTAGCCAGCTGCAAATTAAATATATACAATCTAGATAAAGGTAAAAACAGTTGAAATTTTACAAGAAAGGTTCACGATGTTAAATCTTTGCACCACAGCCAGCTGTTAGCCTTGGCCGTCTGAGCAGTTTATTCCCTACCAATGCATCACATGCGCTAATTTACTCCTATACAACTTAGCCACTTCTATGTTATGTTTTCTAAATTTGTTGCACTAAATCAAACTAATTCTACGCTTTAATATACTAGTAAAATAAAGTATTTCCAATATCATACTTTCGAATTTCTCCNAAGCTAACCATGGGATCTTAGCCTGATGGTAAGGATAACCCCTCTTTATGTAACGCAAATGCGGGTTAGTTCCATCAAAAAGTTCTCCACGAAGCCAAATTTCTCCCCATACTTGATCTAGAAGTTCCCTTGTCTTCTGGATTAGGTTCAAAATTACGA